AATGAACTTTAATAAAAGCAAATACAGGTCTAGACTTACAGATGCCCATTTTCAAGGTCAGGACTCAGAGCCTCAACTGCAATGTCCATTAGACCAAATGTGGCTCAGCTATGTCAGCAGAAGCGCTGCCAAGTATCAGGAAGGAAATAAAGCTCAGGGATGGGTGGGTGCAATAGGATGCAATAAAAAGTGAAGTTAAATGCTGTTTTTTTTTTCTTGTTTAACATTATACTGTTAATGTTTCAAATTTTAATATGAAGACAAGTTGCAAAGTTGTCAGTTGTGTTGTAAAATATAGTGTTCTGGAATTTCATTCAATTCATTCAGTTCAGTGCAATGTTTAAATAAGAGGAAAAAGTTTGCCTTGCCTTTGGTGTGAAACATGCAAATATATGCATATTTTTTATTTTTGTCACAATTTTATTTATATATACAGGTTGCTAGCACAGGTGTCTTAAGTGTTAAAATACATGTGTTCAAGATATTTGTAGTTTATTCATTAAAATGTTATTCATTCAAATGTTACCAATAAATATTTAATATTTGCATTAGCTATTTTGTATTATTAAAAGCACATTTTCAAAAATATGTTATCTTTTGTATTATTCGAACACTGATGTGGCCCTCCAGTGAGCTGACGGTGGCAGTGGTGGCCCCCAGCTCATTTGAGTTTGAGACCCCTGGCTTAAAGTGTCTTAGATTTTGTTACTTATTTGTGTTACATGCATAATTGCACAATGACTCTGCTGCACATGCTCCCATGCAGCATGTTGTTGCACTGCTGCCACCTTTTGAAGTGACTCATTACAATACTACATTTATTCTTTCCTCTTATCTAACCCTGTGTCTTTTGAGTATTTAAATAAACATCTTAAGCCTCTCACCTTCCCCCCAACTTCCATAAGTGTCAAGTCATCCAAGCCAAACTTTCTTAACTCATGTTCTAACTCTTCTGTTTGTGCCCTACATCTTATACATGATATCAGAACATGCACCACTGTTTCTTGCTGTTGGCAGTCTTCACGTAACCCAGTCTAATGCTTTCCTATTATCTTAAGTGATTATTTATATTTATGTCAAATTCTCATTCTCTCACCATTACCTGCTCCCTTCTATGCATCCCTTTGGTTTCTT